ACCTTCTCCATCACAGAAAGTAGAGCCGTCAGTCAACATTGCATCTGGCTTTCTTCCAACCAACATCGCTTCATAAGGACATAGTTGTCGAGCTTTGCGCGGAGCTTTCTGTTTTGCCTTCCCCGACGCCGTCTTCTCACCTTTTTCTTTTTTGGCCGAACGGGCTCACGGTATGACAACAACTGTGGATGACAACTGAAAAAGGCGGCTGGTTTGGTGGGGATCCTGACTTCAATGATGGAGGTCAATACATCCGTGCCCCTTCCAGCCGTCCTTGTCCTTGTGGCAATGCTACAGGAACGAGGTCGGTTGGAGACAATATTTTCTTTACGCCAGTTCTTCCTATCGTCTCTATGTGCTGACTCCAACCGCTGGCGAAGATCTGATTGGGCGGAAGGCGCGGGCCTTGCGCCACGAGGCCGTCGCGGTCCGTGTCTGCCAGCTGAAACTTGGCGCGCAGAACGGTCAGCTCCTCTACCTGCATGATGCGAGCCTCAGATGTCTCAGATGTCGCAGGGCTCAGGCGCCTCCCACCCGCCCAAAAAAAGAGAGAGAGAGAGAGAGAAAAAAAAAAAACATCGAGTGATCAACACAATCAACGAATGCAGTATGTTCACACGGGAGCTGAGCATGGCAGTTTCGTTTGAACCTCCATTTGATGGGATAGACAAGGGCCCTCCTGCACAAATGTCTGTGTTCCACACTTTGTTTGGACCAAGATGAAGGGCGCACAGGTGGCTGCTTCCATGTCGGGGAACCGGATAAGGAAGCACAGTCTACAAAGCGAAAACCCGCAAGTCCCTCAAGAGCCATGCTGACTGGATGTTTGGGTGGATGAGCGCATGCAAATGCCAAATTTAAATAAATGAACATTTGCCTTCACCAACACTAAGCAAACAATATGACACAGCTACGAATGAACACACACACACACACACACATTCTGTGACAAATCTAAATGCGATAACCAAACACAGGTGCTATTCCCACATGCCATCAAACAATCGCTGGCGGGCTGCTGAAGGTGCGGGGTTGTGTCAAATGGGTGTCAACAACTCACCATTTGGGCCAGAGTTACGATTTCTGTTTGACTCCTGACACTGGTTGCCCCACAAAACAATTCAACAGGAAAGCTGGGTGCTAAACGGGAGGTCTGCCAAAAACAGCAAACATCAACAAACAAACAACATACTCATCCCCTTCTGGTTTCCCTTTGGGTCAACGAAAGTTATGGTCTATTTGTGTGTGTTTTTTTCTTTGAGGATACCCTTCTTACGCTGAATTGCGAGGAAACCAAGCCACCAATTTTGCGGGGTGCCCCCTAATTCTGTTGACCCATTTGGCACGCAGGAAGCACTGAAGTGGAACGCGATCGAACGCTCCAGCTCGGGCCAGGCCCCGCACAAAGACCAGGAATTGGTGGAAATCCACGGAGCGCCGGGGCGTTGTGAACCCCTGGAGGCTTCGCGTGGCAAACCAAGAACAACACCACTTTTAATTGAGAACTGCGCCCGGCCAAACACATCTGAAGTGGTGCTTGTCACAACTTCCAAATTGATGTCACTTCGCCTTTTGGAACAGTGAAGATTCTGAATTCAATGCGCCAACTTCATTACCTAATTCCGAAGCCTTTTTGAACCATGAGGAGAGCCTTCCTCCTGCCCCTGCCCCCAACTCAGCCTGCCCGAAAGTACAGTGACATCCCAATTTGTGAATGGACAGGGCCATGTGTCAGAGCTAACTGACTTCGTTGAAAGGAGCGACCAAAGGTCCAAGGCTCAGTCATTCGCTGCCTGCCCTTCCACGTGCTGCCAGTTGGCTTTAGGATGTCCAATGCACAGCATGTTTGAGTTAACGCCTTGGCGAAGCTTCCCGTGGGCGACGAAATGCGATCAGCCGACAGTCTGAGCACCTACCCCATCGAGGAACCAACGTGATTGCAAGAAGAAGGTGTGAATTGAAATTTGCGTATTTACAAATCAAAGTTGGGGCGGTTCAAATCCCGGGTACCGGTGGGGTACTGCTCACACCGTGCCGTGGAGACCACAACAAGTCCGGCTACACATGTACCTTGAACATTGCAGAATACACTAGCATACATTAGCGAAATGTTTACCGCCACATCATGGCCACATAGAAGCCAACATCATACAGCTGTCGCAGAGCGAGGTGCTGAGGCGCAATCGCACGCAAGGCTTGGAAACATGGTGGTTGAGGCAAGTTCGTTCCTGCCCATTAATGCTTGTCACTTCAAATGAGCCAGGAAGAAGTCACCTTTCGCTCCCAAGGATCCTGTATATATATATATATATATACATATATGTAGGTGTGTGTGTGTGGCCATCGCCAGCGCCGAGTACGCGGCAGCCTCCTCCTCCTCATCCTCTTCTTCGCCATCGTCATCGTCGTCGTCGGCGTCGCAGTGCGGACGCAGCCTGGCTTTGGCATGAAGACTCCCCAAGGCATGCCGCCGCATCGGGCATCCCACGACAAACCAGCCTTGCAGCACAGTGAAGAGTTTAAGTGTTGAGCCTTATATGCAATGGTCTCCCGGCCCTTGCTGGATGTGCTCGCACTAGCGTTACGCCTTCCAAATATTCACACGCGCTTCAGATGCTGGCCCTTTTTGGCCCCTTTTCGACTCGGTTGGGCAGCCAACGGAGCACATGAGTCTTTACTGTAAGTTTGACAACTATGAGGTGGGCGGAGCAGGCAATCTGGTTGATGGGGACGCGGAAGCCCCAAAGTCTCCCGGATTCCGGATGCCATTGGCCAAATAGAGGCATTTTCCTGAAAAGGGTAAGAATCACTGCATGTTCAATATCAATATGCTTGTCTCTGCGTTTTGCCACTGTAGAATTCAATCTTTCCGCTGCTTTTCTTCCTTGGGTGGCACGGTTTGCAGTTTGTTTGCACGCACACGGCTGTGTGATTTTTCCTCGGGGTGGGAGGTGGGAGGGAGGTACTTAGGAAGCCGGTTCAAACGCAATGGAAATCGCAAAATGGCATAAGCTGGCACAAGAGCCATGAGCCCCTCAGTTCATTCACCTCACAAATTGGCATATCGCAATTCCACAACTCCTCTCCCGACCCTTCTTGGCAATCATTGTAGACTTGCTTTTAGGATGTTTTGTTGCGGCAAAAGCGGCAAACAAAAATATAAGGCTCATCATGGAGGGTCATGAAGGGCAACCATGTTTACGACTATTCTCTTGTGATCATGACTCAACCTGGCCCTAAGCTTCCCACAATCTCATTAAGCCCGTATAGTCGCGTGCGCTTGCGATGCTCGGCTTTTGTCCCCGGCCACTGCTTGTGCAGGAAGGACCTGCATTCCATGCGACTACTGCAGCCTTGGCAGTCAGTAGTAGTACTGTAGTGGAAACTTCTCACCGGGCGTGGCTCAAAATGAAACAGCTGGAGTTACGCAGGTTTTAGCCTTGATTTCGATGTACCAAGGTGCCGTTTTGGTACAATTGGTTGACCCACAGCCAACCAGGCAATGGTTTTCCCGTTCTCCGATCCGACTTCAGCGGCACGAATTCGGGCAGCGGCTTTGGCTGCGAGGCAACTGCGCGCAACCTGGCCGGGAGCGCGGGCATGCGGACAATGAACGCCGCCGCATCCCCGCTTGCCATGACTAGTTTACTAGGCTGGAATTAGAACCCCAGCAACAAAATCTTTCTTTTGCCTGGGTAGTGGAAAACAAAGGGACCCCAAAAAAGCAAAAAAGCAAGAAGGGGAGCTAATTCTGGGGAAGTTTACTCTAGGCCCTAGGCCACCCTTGGTCACGCTTGCAAACATGTCCGGACTGAAGAACATGGCAGTCTGGATCAAAAAGCATATCAAATGTCCGGAAAGAGCAGTTTCGATTGCCTTCTAGGAACTGGGAAGGCGTGTGAGGACACCGGCCACAGATGGGATCAGCCAAACCCATGGAAAGGCCCATGGCGCTGGCAAGCTGTGAAGGGCACCAAGTCAGCCAGGCCCGTTTGCTATGGGAAGCTATTGTCGCAAAGCTTGGTTGACCAAACACTTAATGTTTAGCAGTTAAGTGGAATTTGTCCCACTAAACCACAATAAGCAAAAATGAAAACTGTTTCCCAACAGCAACCATGAAAGGGTTCCAAATGACAAGGCTTGAAAAGGAGAGCCGTTGACTACTCGTCTGCGGCCATCACCCCCACCCTATCCCCAAAGCATCGAACACCTCGCCGAAGGGCAGGAGAACATAAAACGAAACCTAGCCTTCTGCAAATTCACGCGCAAGGAGGACCTTGTGTTGCGATAGGAGGGGAAACCACCTGCAGCGTTTTTTTCCTTGTGTCCCCTGTATCACCGCAAAAGAAAACACGTCTGTAGAATTGCCGAAAAGCTGAAAGTGCAAATCACCCCGAATGAGAAAATCATGTGGACCCTCTATCAGGGCGCTTGAATCGAAACCTGCGCCGCTGCAAATTGACACGGCACCCAAAAGGGGATCTGTCCAGAGAAGCTTTCTCTACATATGAGGGTGCTAGTTGGGTTTAGGTTCAAACTGCAACGCAGTATCCTCAAAGTCACCCTCTAAATAGATCTAAATAGTTGCCTAGCGGGACCAAGTAACATTTTAGCCCTGTAGTTGCACAGGGGTTGTCAGTGTTTCTCCGCACTCAACATGCCACCACTTCGAGAGTGGTTGAAACCGCGCTCTGTTTTGGCACCTTCCCACTACTCGCTCTTCCAGATACCCCACGAGTGCTATGTTAGTCGGAGGAGTCCGGGAGGAGGGTTGGTTTTAAAAGGAAACCCACTCCAAGAAAACTTGTTGATGCGATAAGCAGGGCAGAAATGGAATGAACCCACAAATTTCCCTAGGAAACCACCTGGATGGGAAACATCTCGGGGTCATTCATAGTCATTCTATTTCTCATTCCCCGCATCTCTTGCACCCTCCGTGAACACCGGGCCGACCCACGTGACCGCAGACGCTCCCCGGCGTCGTCCGTTCTTCTCGCCTCTCAAAGCCTCAGGGCCGCGACGAGGTCGCCGCCGGCAGCAGAGGCGGCCTCTTGTACTGCGTGCTTGTGAGCCTGCCGGATGTCCGCTGGTTGCGACATCCCTTCCGACATGAGTAACCATAGCACCATGGCCTTCATGTGAACTGCTTGGCATCTACAAAGGAATCATCCGAAACCAGGGTTGTTGAGGGGTGCAACATGGATTTCGTGCATCCACCGTATGGGTGTCATCTCTGAAGGAAAGAGAGGATATCTTTTACCGACCCCCTAAACCGATTGAAACCAGGGTTAGGCCACCCCTTTTTTAACAACATGCAACTGGGTCAACGTTCAACGACGTCCTTTTGGCCAATTTGTGGTTCGCTTCTTTGAAAGAGACCAGGATCTGGTTGTTTCCGCATATTTTGCAACCAGCTCTGTTGACAAGTTGCGGTTGGCCTGCGTTCTGAACGTGGACGTAAGCCCCAGATAAAATTACGGCCGCTTCCGACATGGGAACATTGGGGCACTCATCGCACGTTGCCACTACACGGTTACCAAGCAGGAAGAAATCAATGACAAACCCACCCGGTTCTGGGGCTCCTTGCGAATCAAAAAACGATCAACGGACACAGGCCCATGCTTGAAGCCAGTGGCGTACGGCCCCCCTTTTGCACGAAAGCTGTGCAAAAGCAGCATTTGCTGATGAAAGCCTGTCCAATTGCAAAAGCGCACAAGCCTGCCCTACTCGGCTCCGATGAATCAAGACCATGAGATCGCATTGCCACAGGTTCAAGTGCTGACAAACCACAAACCTCATATTTTGCTGGCCATTTGTTGTCATCAGCTATAATAAACGGGAGCAACACAGCTCGGCATGGAAACATCCAGTGGAGCCAGTGGCAGCGCAAGCTTGGGTCGCAACATGCTACAAACGGCATGGTTGCCACACGGATCTTGGCGTCTGTCAGATGTTGTTCGTTGCCGGCCTGATCCACAACTCCTTCAAACCGGCGGTTTCCAAGAAGCAGAGTGGAAGGATTTGGCTCCCACAATGCTATGCCAAAGGCGTCGAGCGAGGACACCTCCCAGACAAATCATTCTAAACATTTTGTCAGCATAGTCATGAGAACCGAATCTCTGTTGTCAGATTACCGTGCCAAATGGATGATGGCCACCCGTTGCCCACAAGCAACCACTTGTCTGACCATGAAGCAACTGCGGCGACCGCTGAGAAAGACGAATGGCTGGGCCATGAAGGGGTTGCCGTTTGCATAAGTCCGGCTCATGGAATCAAGCGGAGAGAAAAAAAAAGGAAGGGATCCTAACATTCAATTGACGAGGCCAGCCCAAGCCCTCTATAAATTCAGCAGGGGAGTTCAACCAAGGGTCTAAATGACGGGGCTATCAACTGAACTGACCGAATTCGGGCCTCCGGAAGGTTGACTATGCCAATACATAGGGACACAAAAGGCGTGCCACAACTATGTGCAAGCTGGCGCGAAGCGGACACGCCCAACACGCGGTACGTTGGCAACAGGGAAAAAGCCACAACTGCACTGCTTTCCTGTCGAAATCACGGGAGTGCAAATTTCAAATTGCCGATGGAGCCGATGTGCGGAAATGTGGCTGCCGCTGTTGCTGTCAAAAAGGATGATATCCCTGCTTTGCTGACGCGGATAGGGTAACCGCTAGACTAATTACTGTACGGCACTCGCAGGGTCAGCCCTGCTTGCGCGAGGACCTCTGTAGCGGCAACACCGCTGGACGGCCGGAAGGTGTAGTTTGCCATGTTCCCACCTGGTCCAACAGTCATGGCCAACCTCCATTGCTTAAGTCCCTAGGAAAATTATACATATTTCCAGCAGTCATATATTATAGTTTTTTTTTTTTTTTTTAAAAAAAAAAAAAAAAAAAAAAAAAAAAAAAACAGGGGGACAAACAATTATTCTTAAGCCAATGGAAGCTAAACCGCATGCACTTGTGGAATATTTCACCGGATGCGCTCGCAATCGGATGCTGCCACGGATGCACCCGGCAGAACCCGACTGAATGAGGGAAGGCCATCTGCGGCCAATACTGGGCGCGCAAAGCGGGCTTCCCATTCGTCGACATTGTCCGTCGCGCTCTGCAGACGGGGTGCCGAAGGCAAAAACAGGTCTCAATAGCAGGGCTGTGGGAAACGACCACTTCTGTGATACAACAAAACGGCTTCGCAAAGACCAACTTCCCATAGAAAGGGGGAGATCCCATTGCATCACACAAGTGGGGATAAACCCCTTGATCCCACAAAACCCTGCTCAATAGTCGAAGAATATTGCCCCCAGGGCAAGAAACAAGCCATGGTCACCATTCCTGGAAACCGCAGTGATGGTTCAGTGCCAAGATGCGTTTATTAGCACCCGGCTGCTCAGCCGGGAGGAATGGAGCTCCATGAGTCGGAGGCGCCGCACGATGTCTGATGGCTCACCGAAGCCATCAGGAAGACGGCAGCCTTGAATCCAATGGATGGGTTTCAATCAGAGGTCCAACATAGGACCGCCCAAGTGAACTGACCGAACTCGGCCCTCCGGAGGGCTCGATTCTGCCAAAGGGACGCACAAAAGCCGTGCCACAACTAGTTGCCAGCTGGCACGGAGCGGACACGTCCGATACCCGGTACGCGGAAAAAGCCACGACTGCCACTGCATTCCTTTCGAAATCACGGGATGCAACATTTCCTATTGTGCGGGTCAACGTGCGGAAATGTGGCTGCCGCTGTTGCTGTCGAAAAGGTCGATATCTCTGCTTTGACCCAGATGGCGTCACTGCTGGGCCGAGTGGTCAATCGGCGGCACAAAGGTGTCTGCACTCAGGGGCCAGGCAGCCCCAAGCCACCAAATAGCACTCACTTGATTTATTTCGAAATCTAATGATTTGAAACGCAAGGGGTCGGACTGGCGTCCATGAGGGCGCTGCATAGGAAAACCCCCTTCGGGGGCTAAGATAGATGAACCCGAGCCCTAAGGACCTTGAAGCTACCTTTGAACAAGTCAGGCGCAAACCTTTCAGATTGGACTCTCGCTGGTTCAAAATAGGAGAGAGCCCGAATCAACAAAGTCCCCAACCGGCTGGCATAAGGAGTAAGGATTTTGAACAACCCAGCTACTCCAGCTGAGAACAGACGCTGGAGAATCACTCCCTCACATCAATACCTGTGCCCACCTCACGCTTTCCCCAGAACACTGATCTCCCGACCGCTAAATTGGACCATGCCTCATCAGTCCGAACCAGACAATTTGATGGCCATTCAAATTTCTAGCATCTAGAGTCTCCGCCCAAATCAGCTTCCCCCGAGTGTTGGTGCTTTGGATTTGGAATTTACACATCCAACAAATGCCAATCTCTTGAATTTCCTTATATAATTACTTGCCGTTTTTCATTGAGACGCGCTGTTTTTGATTTGTGCCTGGCAATGACCCCATGGAGCCTCGTTGGAGAGGATTTGTTTTCTGGGAGGCTCAAATGATTTGGGCCCTGTCAACAGTGTATAATGTCGCTTTCCAACTTGGGAGAAGGATAAACATTTAAGCATTTAAGAAGGAAGCTTCGCATGTACGAGAGGAGAGCGATTAAATGCCACCAGGTTTGGGTGTCTCCAGTCATTCCATAAAATGTTCGTAGACTGGCAATCCATGAAAGCCGCAATCGAACACACGCTAGGAATCTGCTCGTCCGACCCCAGACCCGGCTTCTTCACAGCCTTGGTCATTTTCAGAAGTAGGCCAACATGGCCTGCGTGCACTTAAACTGACGTCAGAGGATGTGCTCCCACACAACTACTGCGGCCGATGCACCCGGCGGAATTCGATGATTCCGATGTCCCCTCACTGGAATTGCTCGTAGCTCTGGATACCGAGGGAGGCTCGATCTCGTCGTATGAGATCCGGCGACCGAAGCGCGCCTCCCATTCTTCGGCGTTGTATGCGTTCACCCGCTGCACCTTGAAGTCTGCACGCTCTTCGCGGCGTATTTCCAACGGCACCGTTGGGATCGCATCGGATAAGCTGTGGCACTTACCTTGGCTGGAATTAGGACCCCGGCAAAACATATTTTTCTTGCCTGGTTAGTGGAAAACAAAATAACCCAAAAAAGCAAAACATTAAAAAGGGGAAGTAATTCTGGGGAAGTTACCGTGCTTGGCTTGGCTCACCGCCGCTGCGCTAGCCGCGCTGCCCATGAAGCTAAAAAACACCTCGTGCCGGGCAACCTCCCCAACGTTTTGAGCTAATTCGGGCCAAAAACAGCTGCCGGCGGGCTCCTCATTCGAATGACGGGTGGAGAATGATCCGAGATGTTCTTAGTTCACTCAGTTCCCTCCATTCTCGCCCTCCGCATTCGCTGGCCGGCCTCGGCATCGTGAGTAAACATCACTTAGCATACCCAACCAAAAGCTACAGTCAGCAATTTGTGGGGAGATGTCCCGGAAATTGGTGGGCAATTAGGGGTCCACGCGCGATCCAAAAGTGAAACACAGCACCAGGAGAGGTAGGCCTTCATGCGGGTCATACAATGGAAGTACGCATGCTGGGCAAAAAACATTGATTCTCCCCATGCAACATCGACCCCCCTACATGCCCATTATGGCCAAAAGGGGGTGGCTAAAGTCACCTCAAGACAAACTAAGCCCGCAACCAAGCATGCACATGCATTGCATGCACGTGTGGCTGCTCGCCGGCCTCGTTCTCTTCTGCAAGGCTGCGAAGCACCACGGTGGCTGGCTTCTTGGTCCCATCTGTCCGCAAGAGCTCAACCAGCCTGAGATGTCCCAATTCAGGGAAATCGAGCGGGGGTTGATCAACAGGTCCTTTACATAGGATGACCACTAGGAAAACCACCAACATTCGGGATTCATGACTTCCCCACTAAACAAGTTACCCGTGGCCATCAACTCCCCAGTGGGTGCAACTGAAGGAACAAAATCCCACGCGTGGCCTGGCAAAGGCGACCAAGGTGATGTCTGCGCTTCCTGTCTAGCGTGCCAGAAAGCAACATCAAAGGCATCGAGGTTTGGCCAAATTCAGCGTGCACCCACCAGAATCACCAGAACTACACCTCCAAACGGCATTCCGGTTTTCAGTTGGTGACAGTTTGCCACTGGAGCGTTCGCCTCAGCAGTGGCCTTCATGACAAACACAGGGCTGCAAACAGCGGATCTCAAACAGCGCGAAGCGGCTGCAAGCTGCTGTGGATGTCAACTCTGGAGAATCAGCAATCTGGAGCCCCAGAAAAGGTAAAAACCACTTGAGCAGCGCACAAAAACCAGTGACTTTGGTTTTACTAGCTGCAATTGACTCCATTGACACGGGCTTTGCTGTGCCACCAGCACTAAGCTGGCTCTTTCGGTTGTTTTGCGCTCGCTTGGCTTGCGAAAGTTCGACCAGCCGGCGTCTAACAGCTCTAGATGCTGTTGATTCACGCTTTCGGCGTGCTTAAGCATGGGCTTAGCATGCCCAAGTCAGAAAAAAAAAAAAAAAACATCTGGGTAGAAACTTGACACTATTTCGTGTACCTTGGCATTGCTCACTGCTGCTCAATACGACGGCCGCAGAACTGGGCTCGGGGGGGGCTACTACAAGCGGCAGCGACATTGCCAAAGACTGGCGGCTTCCAGAACTGCTAGGTAACACAAATGTGGTCACCTTGGCTTTCTGTCCTAGGTCATGAACCAAGATATGTCAAGACTACGCGCTTGGGTGGTGGACATCATTTGGGTTTGAATCTTAGGTGGGGATGTATGTTCACCAACCATCTGGGAGGGAAGTCGTCACTAAAAACATTATTTCAGTCACAGGGTTAGGCACTATCCTTAGCCTAGCATTGGAAAACGGATTTGGCTACATGATGAGAACTCGAGTTTGGGGACCACAACAAAACCAAGTCGTGACAATGGAGGAGGTAATGTTAAATTTTCCAGCCCCTTGTACGCCTTTCCAACAGCGCACAGCCAGTTGCAATAGGGGAAATGGCAAGGTTCCTCTTGACGCATCCTGCAAATTGATAGCCGGGGCACATGCACCGCAAACGCACCTATCAAGAAAGCAAAACAAGCGATCTGCACCCCGAACCAAAACTCGCAAAGTAAAATTATGTGGGTGGAGTTCGCCCGTTTTTTTCTCCTTAGCATTGCAGCTGACAATGGCAGAGAGCGTCCCTGTCGCGAAAAATGGACATGGCCGGGCTGCAGGGGTATCGCGCCAGCTCGCACCATCTCCGCTTTGTTCTGGTCGCTCAGCACGCACAAAGTCCCCATGGCAGACGCGGCTTTCTCCCTCACCTGGACCTCACCTAGGACGCAGCAACGTGGCATGTGTCAAATGGGTCGTGTTGCTTTTGGTTGTCCTTAAAACCAAGCCCCAAAAGAGCTGCCCTCAAACAGCGACACACCCAGTTGCACCTGCCAATCGCTCTTGACGCATCTTTCTCAGCAAGGAGGCCTCTGCCCACTCATCGACAAGTTCAGCCAAAGGATGACAGGGGACCATAAGCACACGTGCACAGGGATCAGTCACCAGCAAAAGAGCGCCACAAGGCAGCACTTGTTCAGCATCCATACCTTGATGCTGAGTGGGGCTGTCTTTCCGTTCAACTATCTGGGCTGCTCTCAGATCCCCTGCTAAAAGTTGAACGTTTTTGTGGGCTTCTGCAAACTGCCACTAAACCGTTTAAAACCTTTTTCGCCGCTAAGTGGATGGCTGGGAGCCACCAATCAATCTGGCCGCGAGCAAGAGTCATCACTTATTCAGCCCAAGGCGATGAACATCCCGAGCTAAACCGTCCAGGATCTCTACGAGAAGCAATCCGCCAAGCCAGAAATTCTGTTTCAAAGTAGGGTCTTCCCTTTGGGATCCTTACGAAGTCAATTTGAGGAACTCCCGTCAAAGCGCTGGCCAAGTGGCTATCTTTCAGCAGGCCCACCAGCGCCTGGATCCCACCTGCTTTCCCGATGGCCTCCTGCGCTCTGGCCCGAGGCCTCTCACCCAAGAATCTTCTTAGACTCACTGCTTCGGATACCTCGCCTGAGTATGCCCAACAAAGAAACACGCGTTCCGCGTTGAGTGGCGTATATACATATGTATATATATGTAAAGATGCATTGTTGGGAGGAAAACCTTTGCACCAACAGCCCAATTGGAATCGAGTCAAAGCATGCGCCAAACGTGCAGAAGCAAACGGCTCAACTCTTTGAGTGCGGAGCTGACCGTGAAGCAGTGCATAGGTCACACCATACGTCACAAACTGACAACTCGGTGTAGGGAACTTAAAAGGCCCTCCTCAAAGTCATGTGGGTGTGGCTCAAAATTAAAGAGCCAAAATTACGCATGTTTTAGTCTTGGTTCAATTACGCATGTTTTAGTCTTTGGTTCCATCTACCAAGGTGCGATATGTTGATACATGATTTGACCCACAGACATGTCTCCAAGTGCTTTGCTACTCAAACGGGCGAGGGGTGAGGAGCATGTCCTTGCGTTGCGGGTGAATATGTTGCAGTTTAAGCAAACCGAGCTGCAGAAACCCCAAGTGGAGCCACGGCCATGTCCCAAACCAGAGAGAACGCCTCCCCCCACCCCCACCCCACCCCCACCCCACCCGCACCCCGCCGCCCCCGCAAGTTCACTTCGAAGAACCTGGGTCACCTAGCCATACGCTGCCGATATGAAAGCCCAAGGTGGGTCATTCAGGGGAGCACGAGTCTCTGAAGAATCAAAGGGCGCTTTAAAAGTTTGAACGCAGACCCATCCAGCCTTTTAAGTTGGTTACACACCTCCTTGCAGAGAATCCCAACTGGAAACACAAAAACATAATGAGCTCCATAAGACTGTTCCAGCAAACAAACTCATACACCATCACCCTCTAAACGGTGGCGAAGGAAAAACACATCACCCCCCAAAATTGACGTCTCGACCGATCAAAATGCAGCCACTGAAGAGCCTCCTCGTTGTTTACCAAAGTCACTCATGTAACTCATGTAGGTCAAAGAGAAACTTGTTGGTGTGATAAGCAGGGAATGACGGCATGAACCTGGGGATTTTTGAATAAAGGACACCACCTGAATGGTTTATCTCGGGGTCAGAAACCATTTCTGATTCCCGTGGCATCTCTCGCACAAGGAACGTTGTTGCTGTTGACCCCTCTGAAAAAAATAACTTCTTGTGGGTTCCGTGGAAAGCCCTTGGTTTCCCAAAACGTTAAAGTCTAAAGATCCAACCCAATAGCAATCAAGGGAAACAACCAACCAGTTTCTAACAGGTCAGAACCACTCGCCCTGTCCTTGTTGCTGGAGCTCATCACCGCGAGGTTCCCCAGCGCCGCCGCCGCCTGCGTTCCTCAGATCGGATCGGGTCAATTTAACTGGGGGCCTGGCAAAGAACGACAAAACTACCAAAAAAAAGACATGTGTTTTGGGCTTGTTTTTGGCCAATAAAATAAGCTATGGTGCTAAATTGCACGAGCTCAGGGGGGAGGCCTATTCCAAATCAAGAAGTGTTTCACACGACTCGCGGACTGGTTTGAACACTTCCTCAAGGCAACCAGGTTTCCCCCTGTTGAAACGTTGGAGGCGACAGATCTGATGGACGATATCGGTTTTCTTCCAACCTGAATGGGGTGTTACTTGCTGATAATCTGACCTTTTGCAATTTGCAGGTTCAATAAGATTCCAAAAGCTCGAAGAGCCTTTTCCGGATCAACCAAGGACCATGCAACTCATTGAGGATTTAGCTTGGTGGCATCATGTGTCATGTGGCATCTTCTTTCTGTTGCAGTTTGCCTTGGAGGAATCAGTGAGTCTCATGGTCGCAGTTGGAAATGCAACTGCGTTGCGGAAGCATCATTCACAAGAGTCTGGGCATGCCCTCATGCACGGAGCACAGCTCAAGCAACAAGCGTTCACAAGCAGAAGCGCGAACTCAAGCATTACTAGCAACAGCGGATGGCATGGAGGCGCTCACTGCCTTACAAAGGCGGCCGCGAAGATTCGACAACATTCCCGAAGATTTCGTCGACTCGACAACATTTCTCGTCGATTCGACAACATTTCCTGAAATTTCTTCGGCTCGACAACATTTCTCGTCGATTCGGCAACTTGTTCCTTTTTCCCGTGAAAATTGAAAATGTCGTCGACTCGCTCCTCGTCGATTCGACAACATTTCTAGAAACCTGCTCGACTCGACAACTTTTTCCTTTTTGGCGTGAAATTTTAAAATGTCGTCGACTCGACAACATTTCTCGTCGATTCGACAACATTTCCGGAAATCTCGTCGACTCGACAACATATCTCGTCGATTCGACAACATTTCTGGAAATGTTGTCGATTCGACGAGATATGTTGTCGAGTTGACAACATTTTTGCGCAGCATTTTTCAATAAGTGTTTTCACGGAGTTGGGGGCATAAAAAAAAAAGTTTTCTTGAAAAGTTTGCCTTAAAAATAAGTGTTTTCACAGTTTTTTCTGGAAAAAACACCAACCGACGAACCTTTCCAGAAATGTTGTCGAATCGACGAGATATGTTGTCGATTCGGCAACATTTCCGGAAATGTTGTCGAATCGACGAGAATTGTGTCGAGTCGAGAAATGTGGTCGAATCTTGGAGAAATGTTGTCGAGTCGACGAAAATTCCGGAAATGTTGTCGAATCGACGAGAACTGTTGTCGAGTCGACGACATTTTGTTTCCTCTTGGGAAAAAAGGACAAGTTGTCGAACCGACAAGAAATGTTGGCGAGTCGACTAAGTTTCCGGAATTGTCGAATCGACGAGAAATGTTGTCGAGTCGACGTCATTTTCAACTTTCACGGGAAAAAATCAAAAAGTTGTTAATGTTGTCGAGTCGACGACATTTTCAATGTTCCACAGGAAAAGGAAAGGTCAAATCGACGAGAAATGTTGTCGAGTCGACGAAATCTTCGGAAATGTTGTCGAGCCGGCGAGAAATGTTGTCGAGTTGACGACATTTCAAATTTCCACAGGAAAAGGAAAAGAGTTGTCGACCCGACAACATTTCCGGAAATGTTGTCGAACCGACGAGAAATGTTGTCGAGTGGGCGACACGGGAAATGGTGTTGAATCGACGAGAAATGTTGTCGAGTCTACAACATTCAAATTCCCATGCGAACAAATGGAAGAAAAGAGCCCCCGTCTGGCAACATCAGCCAGATGTTCAAATCGACACGGTAGTGTGCAGTTTTGATACGAGAAGCACATCAACCTGGAAATTTGCAGAAAAAGAGTGCTGGCTGGGGGCAATATCTGAGTCGAGCCCCTGCGAGAAGGGATGGATAAGTGTTTTACTACAATTTTTTAGTCTAGGGTTGCAGGTGTTACTTCTTTCTGCCCAACGTATTGAAAACACTTATTCATCCCTTCCCGCAGGGGGCTCGTGCAATTTAGCAAGCTATGGCCTATCTAAAGCCCACTTGAGCGGAGGCAGCCGTCGAATACCCAACACAACAAAGTCACAGCCCAAAATGAGGATACGGCCCACTTGCTTGGCCAGCCCGCTTGTGCATTTGCTCCACTTCGCAGGCACGTCAGAAACCGGACTGAGTCCGACCAAACATGTTGGTGGCTCCGTTTCATGCTCTTGTAGGTCATGCGGAAGCTCTACATTCATTTGGATACTTCAGAGCAAGGGCAGGCCGAAAGCTGACATAGACAAGTCCTCTTTGCATGTATCGCCCGCGGCCCCCCCAAGCTTGCGAACCAGGTATGTTGAAATGGCACACGTCCGTGCGATGTGCGGCAGCAGTGGCGAACCAGCCCAGCCGGGATAGGGCAGTTGAACCCCCTGCCACCCCCGTTAAAAAATGCGCAAACTGTACCACCGTCACACCCACCTTTGTGCCCATGATTTTGCCACCTCAATAAAGCCTGTTAACATGTTCCGTGCCATGCTTCAAGTGGAAATGCCAACTGCCGCCCTGCAAAATGGCTCAAAAACGCGGAATAGGGACTAGACTATACTGCATATACTTCTTTATGTGAGAGAACCTCTGTGTACGTCTTGTAGCCAAAGGTCAATGATGCCGGGCCATGAAGCACTGTGAACCGATCAGGGAAACCTGACGCCAACGCCCTACACCAAGCGCGGTGTGTGTCAGCTAAATTTCCCATCGACCCCGCATGTAAATCGATGATCATCCATGCACTGACCGATGCACTTATCAATGCTCCAGACAGAACATCTTCCTATTCCTATTTCGTTTCGGACAGCCGCAGAAGACCTAAGGGTTTAGATGCGCAAACTTTCTGAGCAGATTTCACTGTGTGTCGCTGAGCTCGACAACTGACTGCCACTGGCACTGCAAAGCGGTTTCCAAACATGCGATTGAAATATGCAAATGCCCGCATTGTTCTCAGCCCCCCAAGGCATGCAAAAGAGCTGTCCCCAAATTGGCCCGCTCAGTTCCACGAATGCTGTTTCTTAGGGCGCCATGTTGCTTCCAAGTTTCCAAAGAGAAATTCGCAACCCAGGGCGTTTCTATGCAAGAGCCGGTCGCTACAAGGGGTATATGGCTTGTTCATCCCACTGAGTGGCAACATTGTCCGCCTTGGACAACATTTCTTGAGTATTGATGAGTAGGACACCTAGCCCAGTGAAAATAAAAGGCTTAGTTCCTGTTGCCTTCACCAAAAATCACCAACCGAAAATGGGGAACCGGCGCACCCATATTGAATCTCCGAGTCAAGAAACGTGCAGCAGGTGCCAGGTGTTCAGTGTCCTCAACCAGCTCAATGAAAAGCCTAGGCGCTCCACAAGCGTTTTGTGTCGCAGCTGCGCGTGAACATGGTACTTCAACTGCTCTCCGCAAGCCTGAAGCACCGAACTGAGGAAACATCTTGCCGTGTCCGAAACTCAGGAAACTCTAAGACTAGGTCGCTTCCTTTAGTTTTACACCATCCCAGAGAAAGTGCTCCAAGTTGGAAAGCCCTTGGCACCTTTGTGGATTTCAAGCCGTAGGTGCCTTAAAACGTGAGTTGGGGGAGGGGAACGCAATACGGTACCAATTTTGCGCGATTATGCATGATTCTGCAAGAGACTGACGTTCCTTGACTTGAGTGGCCTTTGTCACACCAAGCTCTAGCTCGGCCCAATCCCAATGGCGCTCGGAAGCATCTGGTCTTTTTTTCCCACTGGCCAAAGGGAAACCTACCTCAGCTTCCCACAAATTGGTAGTGTGTGTGTTGGTGGTTTGGTGAACAAAAGCCGGGGGCTCAAATTCCCAAGGCACCAATCCAAACCACCAACTAGGGGTCGCCTGATTGGCCCCTTTTCCGCTGGCGAAAGATCATCGGTCTCTGAGCCTCTAACGGGATTGCCCCAAGCTTGGCAATCACTGCGCGATTGTCCGCATTGGTGGCCAGCACCGACAATACGCCTCACACAAACAAACAAACATGGGTGTGTCTTTAAATGGGGGAACGCCAGACTGGGTGATTGTCCCTTCGGTTTTCCTTTGAAACCAGCCGAAATCACAAAGGGCGATCTAAACACAACACAATCCCAAACCGACGTGGAATGGAAAAGTGCTTCCAAATGATTTGCAGGGATGTGCCGTGCCAAGTCAAAACGTGAGCCGTCGCGACTGTTAGCTAGGTACTGTGGACCAAGGCGAGTCAGGCAAAATCGGGATGTACCAATGATGGCGGCAAGGATGCCTACGGTCTCCCCAAAAGAACGGACTGTAAAGGCTCCCAAGCACTTCCCTGCTGGCAGTGCAATGTTTTATTTAGCTGTTGTTTTACAAGGTCCCTATGAATAAAAGCACCCTATGGGCCCTATGACTGATTGTGTTTGAGCCAAGATGTCCTAATACTAAACTGGGCGATACTGACTAGACTAAATGTTAAACTCCAAAACTTTCTGGTGCCAAACAGGGAATGAGAAATGGTTTCTGAACCCGAGATAAACCATCCAACTGGTGCTGTCCGAGATAAACCATCCAACTGGTGCTGTCCTTTATTGGGGGACCAAAGCCAGGGTTCATTCCATTTCTCATTCCCTACCCATCGCACCGATCGCAAGAAAATACTGGTGCGGCTCCAAATTAAAGAGCCAGGGTTACGCAGGTTTTAGTCTTCTCCATTTACCAAGGTGCCATTTTGGTACATCAATTTGAGCCACACCTATATGCGACCCCCCCCTCCCCTCGCGTGCGCGTCAGGGTCCCACCTGCAGCATCCTCGCGGGCTCCGGGGTTTTCGTCCCTCAGGAGCTCCATGCCTCGGCCAGCGCTCCCGGGTGTCCGTTTAAGGGGAAGATGGGCGCAGGGTAGATTCGCTAAATGGGTCGGTGTGGTGGTCAAAAATCGGTACTCAAAATGGGTTGCCCTGGTAAATGGACACAAGGACAAAAACCTGCGGTCTGCTGGTGCTTGAATCGGTTCCCCCCCATTTTCAGCTCCATGTGGGCAAATCCACAATGTTCTAAAAACCTCCGGAGTGGATTGGCCAGAAAAAATCTAATTTGTTCTTGGTCCACCAAACTGGTCCAAACCCAAAAAATCTAACAAGTCCAGGACCTCAGAGTGATTGGACCACGAGGCAAAACCAGGACCATCGATCTTTCAAAACAACCAAAAAGGACACCTATGCCAACAAGCCTTCGTCTAAAAGACCCTCTCACCAATTAACGGCTGGAACCTGACGTTCGGCACCAACAGGTCCCTTTAAAAGGAACATGATCTTCCAGGATCCCCAAAACGCCGGGTTTCATGCTAGGGAGGGTAGCGGGTTTGGGATTTTCAAGTCACCGCCCGCTGCCTTGCATGGCAGGTTCTCCAAGCCGTTTCAACAGCCCTGAAGCCAAGCACGGTGCCAATGCCAAAGCGCCCCGTGGCCAATTCTAGCAAGCCCTCCAAGCTAGAGATTTATTTCACCTCATTTGCCCAGCGGTTATGGACAAACATGTTGAACATCCGGTTCCCATCGGCTCCCCAATCCCAAAATTATCCAAACTCAGGAAGACCCAAAGAAACACAAGATGCGAGCGGGCAACTGGGCAACAAAGCGAGCAAACAGCCCCAGCCAGGACAAAACAATTCCAACAATCTGCGAAGGGGCTTACGTTTGATAGGTGCCTGATACAAAAAACACACATATGAAAACAGGCGAGAGCCCATTAGTTCAATCACTAGAGTGGTCCGGCAGAGAACCATATTTACTTCAGCAAGTTTAGTTTTATGTGTTTACTTCTACTGAGTACAGGTAAAAAAGGAAAACGGTAAGAAAAGTAAAACGTCTAGTCCCATGAAAAGTAAAAATGCAGCTCCAAAACGTATATTGCGTTGTTGTGTTTCAGGTAGTTTTACATGTTTACTTTTCGACAGCAATAGCAACCATTAAGACTCCCAAGGAAAAGCTTGATTGTGCTTCAGGCTGTTCATTCCTGGGTCCAAAAGTTTTACTTGTTGCGTGTTTACCACTTCTGAAAACCATTTGTTTACTTCAGGCAGTTTTACTTTTCACTTTTTTCATAGCTCCAAACATCTCCAAACAAAATACGTTTGTCTTTGTTCCTTTCGTGGGGAAAAGGTAAAACTGCAACCCTGGAACCAAGCAACACTGCCTTTCGGGAGCTCTACTTTTTCAACTGCCAGGAGTCTTGGTTGTTGCTTTATCCACTTTTACCGGGGGGCTGAGATGTAAAACTGCCAGAAACAGAACCAGATTCATGCTTGCATGGTCGGAGGTTGCCCTTTTTGTGCGCAGTTGTCCCACTGTTGGACTTGAGCCATTTTCATGGTTGAACGGGTTTTGCGGTTTGTGTGTGAATCTTTTCATTTTACTAGGTCTACCAAGACACAGATACGTATATATATATAATGTACATCTATATATATATATGGGTCTGTGCCAAAATAAGATGCTCGAACTGGGAAGCTTGGATAGGGGGTATGATTCGCGGGTGTGACCTGAGGTATGATTCGCGGGTATGATCCGGGGTATGCTTCGCAGGAACTGAAGCTTCTGTTGCAGCATTACTGCGCTGACGATCCGTTGGCGAATTTCGCGCGCGCGTGGCAGAGGGATCACATGCACAAACCAAAGGTGTGGTTCGACGGATGGTTCGGGTATGATTCGGAAGCAAGGTTTTTCTGCCGTAGTAGCAGTGGTAGTAGTAGCAGCAGCAGCAGCAGTAGAGGTAGTAACAGCACGTCGTCGTAGTAGTAGTAGCCTTCTCGGACTGCCTTCTCACGAAGCTCCTTGACGAACTTCTGGTTCTTGCGGGCCTTGTTGGCCTTCGCCTTCTCAACCTTCACCCTCCAGGTCTCCTCAGCCTTCGTACCCTAGTCAAAAGCTCCAAAGCTAAGAGGGGCTGCCGAAATGAGTTGGCCAGCTCCTGCGTGCTTTCTGAAGTCCGGAAGCTAAGTGAACCAATCATCGATGTTGTTTTCAGTGACAACTTGCTCCTGTATGTCATTTCTCAGAACACTCTTCTCATCTAAGTCAAGCAAGTACTTGTCATAACAAGAAGGTTCTCTTCTCTTGTTGGGTCTTGTATTGGCTGTGGGCCTGGCCAAACTCTTCATTGGCCTTGCTCAGGCCAGGGAAGGTCAATCCCGCTTTCAACAAGCGTCTTCTTCGTGGAGGCGCTTGCCTCTCTCACCTGCCAGTCACCGGTAATCCGTGTTAAAGTGCTTCCTCCACCAGCTCCCCAAGTGCCAGACTGGATCACTCCAGACCCACTTGCCACAGCACAGGTAGAGAGAGGAGCAAGACCCCTGCGCAGGCCACACATGCTAGTTCCTGCAGCGCTGAACGCTTGAGCCAGAGCGGCTGCCCACACAACCTTGGCCCCGCCCCCCAACTCAAGGACCTTTGATGCCCAAATGCCAGGAAATATTCTCAAGCATCTCAACTCTCCTGGCCAAGTGCCGCAAGGTCTCACGGTTCATCATTGCGGCATGCGGGCCGTGAGCAAAACTCCAGAGCAAGGCAGTAGCAGTTGTAGTAGTAGTAATAAAAAAAGTACGTAGTAGCAATAGCCTAAGGAAGTTCAGAAGGAACTTCCGTGTGACGGACTCTAATCGAAAGGTAGTCTTGCGCGAAGATGAGAATACGACAGAATGAAGGTGTGCGAGAAAGCGTGCGTGCGCCTGTGGCGTGGGAATAGAAATCGCGAAAAAGAGCGACCCTCTGCGTGTTTTGGCGTCTCCGGCGGGCTGGAAGCAACCTCTGTCGCGATGTCTGACTGACGACGGGGTCGGGGCGGTCTCGGGACGGCCTTGGAACGTTGCAATGTCAGTTTCGTGACAGCGACAGCACTTTGGCGAGCCGAGGTGAAGATTTTGTGGCAGGGGCAGCACTTTCGCAAAGTCACGTACAGATTTGACGGCATGCGCGGCATTCTCGCAACGCTGGCACGGACGCGTCGCAAATCCCACTGGCACGGGCGCGCAAGGTGGCGTATACAGACTTCGTGGCAGGCGCAGCACTTTCGCAAGGTCATGTACAGATTTCGTGGCAGGCACAACACTTTCGCAAGGTCATGTACAGGTTTCGTGGCAGGCGAAGCACTTGCGCAAGGCCAGGTACAGATTTTGTGGCAGGCGCCGCACTTTCGCAAGGTCAATAGAAAGAAAGAGAAAAAGAAAGAAAGAGATACATATAAATAGAAAAATAAATAGATAGATAGATAGATAGATAGAAGACAGATGGATGGATAGAAGGATAAACAGATTGAAAGAAAGAAAGAAAGATAGATAGATAGATAATAGAATGACAGATAAACAGATAGATAAACAGATACATAAGAACGAAATAAATTGGTTAGAGAGAGAGAGAGAGAGAGAGAGAGAGAGAGAGAGAGAGAGAAAGGGAGCTAGTTCCACATATCCAGGGAGAGACGTATAAATAGATAGATAAATAGATAGATAAATAGATAAATAAATGGCGAGATCAATTGGTAAGAAAAAGAGAGAACACACAAACAGATAAGAAAATATGTAGATAGGTAGATAGATAGAGAGACATAGATAAATAGCCAAAGGCAGACGTGTGGGTAGACAGACAGACAAATATCCGGACAGATGGGGAGAAAGATGGGTGGGTAGACAGAGAGAATTAGATTAGATAGATAGATACATAGATAGATCGACAGATAGATGGATGGATAGATCAATAGCTAGATAAGAAGAGAAGTTGGCATAAAGATGGAGCACTGCATGTGGGCTTCATGGCTCAAACAATTTGCATCTGTGACTTGGGTACACGGCATACACACACGCCGCATCACGAAGCACCATCCAACCGTACAAAACTAGCAACTCAGCGTTTCATGTCTTTTGATTAGAGCACAACATGCTTGTTTGCTTTGACAAACCGGGTCCCTTGGAGCCAAAACGAGTTTTGACGTTTAGGGAGACTCTGAGCAAAGGCTCGTGGACAGAGACGCGTTGCTGCATCGCTTGTTTGCCTCCAACTTGCAAGAGCAATGGGAAGACGCAAAGAACTATAGGCGCCGGCTCTACTGGTAGTAGTAGTAGTAGTAGTAGCACGTAGTATGCGTAGTATGCGTAGCATGCGTAGTAGTATAGTAGTAGTAGTAGTAGTAGTAGTAGTAGTAGTAGTAGTAGTAGTAGTAGTAGTAGCAGCAGTAGTAGTAGTACTAGTCGTAGTAGTAAAAGCAACAGTAAAAATAGCTGTAGCAGTAGTGGTAGTAGTAGTAGGGCGTAATGGGAGTAGTAGCAGAAGTGGGAATAGAAGTAGAAGTAGTAGTAGTCATAGTGGTGGAAGCAGCAGAAGTACCTGTAGAACCTGGCGTTGTGAAGGAAGGTAAGATTCGGAGTATGGTGCATGGTTTGTGGTCTGGTTCGGGGGTATGGTTCGCACCCATATATATATATATGTCTGTAGATTCAATGTCTGTCTATTTCTGCAGAACTGCTTTCATAGACAAATGCATACGTCATACCTCTGGTTCGGCGCGCAAGCCACAGCCATCAACCGACGAGGCCGTCAGCCCAGGGACAAGGCCGAATGCCACCACCACGCGAGATGGCAGTGACGTTCTTGTTGTGGCCACCTGTGGCGCATCCCCCCAAGGTCCCACTGAATCAACGAGGTCCGAGGTGAAGTCAGCGAGCAACAGCCTGTTTGCATGAACTGCATGTAGGCGGTCAAGGGTCGGTAATGACCTTGTCAGCCACTGCGTCGTATTCTAAATCCAAAGTCATGCTCCACCGGAGGCCTCTTTGGCCCACATGCCTGGTGCTCGGCATGCTCACAAGTCAAGGGCCCTGACAAATAGAAAACCAGCGCCACGTTTCCCGGCCTCGCAAACCCACCTACCTACCCGCCCTCCCACCCACCACCAACCCACCCACCGACCTCTGACCTGCCCAGCTTCCCGACAAGGCAGCTCCAGCCTGCTACAAGGCTGTGAAGCACTCCCACCGAGGCCTCCCGAATGCTGGGGGACTCGTCGCTGAGCAGCTGGATCCTGAAGCACGGAGGCCATGTTGGAACCCCCCCCCCACCCCATTGGCTCCAACTCACCTCCATGCAAATCCATGACCGGGGCACATGGTGATTTAACCCCTTGGCCCAAAGGTTAAGGGTTAAGGACAGCATGGGGAATGAGGGCAACTTCAAAATGATGCTTGGATATGGTCATGAAGGAAGCCATGCTAACTCAAACCAGTGGGTTTTTCCATTTGCATGCACAGCAAACCTCGTTCTGGTTGTTTGTTCGCCTGTTGGGGCGCCCTCTTGGATTCGTCTGTGCCAGCCAGGCCCCCGGCTCCCTCACAATATGATGGCAAGCCCATCAAGAAACCTACCCTACGGCCATGAAGAGGCAATCAACAATCAAGCCGGCGCTAAAGGTAGGCAGTTCATCTCTATTTGAAAATATCATGCCAACTTAGAACCATTTTGGCATACAACAAACAAATGGAGCTGCGAACAGGTGCCAGTGCCTTGTGCTGAGAATCAATGAATGCTTATGTGAAACAAAGTGAAATACGCATAAGAGCAGATACCGATCGTACTGCGTCCATGCGTAACTGGCATTCAGTGTTGCCCTTGAACACCGTGGGACACATGACACAAACACACAGAAAGTGGCATAACCAGCTGAAGATCCAGAGCCGGAGCCCTTCCACACCAACGGACCACGAGAGAAGCTGCCAAGAGTGCTTGCGCCCTCTTGAAAGTCTTAAATAACTTGCTGGTTCGCAGCAGAGAATGAGAAATAGAATGACCCCTACAAACTATTTTGTTGTGGCTTTCGTTACCGGAATCCCCCAAATCGGTTCATTCCCAACACCCGGTCTCGGTCATTCCCTACCTATCACACCGCTTCAAGCAATCAAGAGAGTTCCAGCCCCTCAGCTCCGCTCAACTTCCATTTGCTTTTATGCCCCCTGAAAAAATAGAAATACTTCCAGTAGTGATTGGTTCCTTTTAAATCCAACAGGGGAAACATATTATAACATATTCGTAAACAAATGGAAGTCAAACGCGCAGATTCACGCCAACTTGGATGCACACCTGCTGCTCTGCCCCAAAAGCTGCAGCCTTACTGGAAAAAGTTGGATGGGATTTGCTTCACCTAAATTGGCCAAACTAATTGGGCTGCTACCGTAGGCGTTTTAAGCTGCAAAGGATTGAAATTCAGGTCTTCGCAACCTCTTCAGAAAACCGGCATTTTGTGGAGTCAAATGCAAAGCCAAACCAGTCCCAAAAACAAACCAATATGCCAATAAGCAACCAATCACCTCGCATCTAACTAGCCATAACGACAATTCCTCCGAGGGATAGCAGCCATTAACTCAGCTAAGGCTCAGCTTGGGCACTGCTCCACTGGCAGCTCCGATCGCCTGGGTGCAGGAGCACGGATGCTGAGCTAAACATCTACACGCCCGGACCCGCCTACGGTAGCAGCCCAAATAGTTTGGCCAATTTAGGTGAAGCAGATCCCATCCTAAGGCTTCAGCTTTTGGGGCAGAGCAGCAGGTGTGCATCCAAGTTGGGGTTGCGTGGAAGTTCTTGGTCGCATCGCGATTCATGTTTCGCCCCGGATGAATCAATCAAGCTGTCGCACGAATTACGAGGTGTTCCTGCAAAAGTGAAGGACCCCCGCCGCGATTCATCAACCAGAATTTTGCTGAATATGAACGGCTGTGCCAGTACAAACCGTATGCCCTCATGATCATGAATCATGACTTGAATTGATTTAACCTACGCCGAAACACAACTCATTATTACGACCCGTAAAGTTACATCCCTAAAAGATCCCCCAGTCATTTTGAGACTCAATATGCGGCAACTTTGTGGGATCCAGCCAAAATGTGCTTGAGGGTACCCTTGTAGCCGTTGTTTTTGCTTTGGTCCCGGGAAAATCTGAGTAAAGCAACCAAACCAAAGGGAATCCGGCTGAACAACTGCACACCTCAAATGGGGCTGGCTTTTTCTTGAGGGTACCCTTTTGGGGTGGCTTCAAAGGATACCAAACACTTTTTTTATGACCCGCCCAACTAGACATTCCAAAGGACAGACACTTAGTTCCAGTTGCTCTTCCCCCCCTAGCCACAGCAACCCACCATTTATGGGCACCCGAGTCTTCCAGACCAAACAAAGCACAAACCCGCCATTTCTTTTGAGTGCCCGAAAAGTATTCGTTCCAGACAAACCGAGTTCGCTTCTCCGTTCATTCCCAGGGGCCGACTGGTTGTCCGCATGGCGCTCCGCCATCTTCTTCATCACCGCCGCCGCCAGCTCCCGCAGCCCGGAGTCGTGGAGCAGCGACACCAAGGCGGCGATGGCCCCCGCACGGGTCAGGGCATCCTGGCGGGGGAAGTTGCCGTGGGGCGCAACCCCCGCCCCACCCACTCCAAAAAAAAAACGGGGGGGGGGGGGGAAGGGGGGCAGCAAAACGCCCATGCTTAAGCGAAGGGGTTCGCCAGGTGAAGGACCAACATAGCTTGAGTTCCCTCCAATTAAATGGCGCCCACCAAAGGGTCCCAATACAAAAGCGATGAACCGCCGCCTGTTGCCCTGGCGCCAGCGCCAGCAGCAGAAGCAGCGCTGGCTCCCGGGCCTCTGGCGCGGCCCCGTCCAGCAACGGCACCAGGCGGGGGATGCCCTCCTGTGGAAAAAGCAACCCCGGGTGGGGGAGGGAAGTGAGGAGGCAGCTTGACACAAGGCAAGCCCCCAGGCCCCAGACTTAAACGGGCTGTTCAAAATGGAGTGTTGGCCCAATCATTCAAAAATTCAACTGGAAAGCCTCAACCGAGGGGCCCCAAGCACAAAGGATTGCCTTTGGACAGCCCAGTGTTACTTACGTTGAACCCAATCCCAGGACTCAACTCATTTATTTTCGGAAAGGGCAAACATGATGCTACCAAATGGTTGCGGATTTGATAAATCCGCCGCTCTACCAAATTTTGGGGGACCCCCCAACTCAGCAAAAGTTCCTGCTGGACGATGGTGGTCTGGTTGTCCACGTTGTTTTCTGCCAAACTCCACAAGGCTCGCGCAGCTTCAGTCCGCACTCTGGCGACGTCGTGATTCAAATGGTCCACCTGGACTCGCACCGGTCAGGAAGGGCCAGGCGGCAGTTTGAAACTACAACCCCGAAACGTCCCTCGTTCCAATTACATCCTAATTTCGCCTGACATGCGAATCGCCCAAACACCCCCCTCAAGAGACTCCAACGGTTCCAACGCCTCCAGAAACAAACAACCAAGCAGCCAAGCAGCCAAGCATCCAAGCAACCCAGCAACCAACCAACCAACCAAACAAACCAAACAAACCAACCAACCAACCAACCAACCAACCAACCAACCAGCCAACCAACCAACCAACCAGCCAAACAGCCAAACATCCAATCAACCAACCAACTAGACAGCGAAACATCCAATCAACCAGCCAACTAATCCACCACCCAACCACCCACCCACCCACGCAACCAACCAACCAACCAACCAACCAACCAACCAACCAACCAACCAACCAACCAACCAACCAACCAACCAACCAACCAACCAACCAACCAACCAACCAACCAACCAACCAACCAAAAAACCAAACAACCAGCTAGCCCGACATCCTACGAAACAAACAACCAAACAACCACCCAACCAAATCAAACAAGCAACCAACCAAACAGAGCCAACCATCAGCAAACCAATGTTGCACAAGCTTTCAACGCAACGCAACCCAGAACCAAACTCGTTCAGCCCAGCAATTGTTCAGCCAAAGGGCGAGAACGGGGATCGCCCCCGACCAGGCCACTGCCATCTGCGCTTCCCTTTGCCTGCTCGCCAGCGTCCGCAACCTGAGCTTCATGGCTTGTTTTACCCCCAGGTGAGCCACGTCAATGGTCCATTCCCTGCAGGCCGGTGCAACCGTGCCAAGCTCTGCGCAGCCAAGTCGAGACAATGGCCTCGGGCCCCTGAAATAGAGCTTCTCTGCGAAACATTTTGAGCCGCTTGCGGGGTTTTACCTAAGGAGGCCGCGGTCATGGCGCGGCTGTGTCGCGCACACGCGCGCAAAACCAAAACCGTGTTTGGCTTTGGCAACTGCACGATCGCATTGTCGAATGTTTGGGCATCACAGAGCTTGAGGCAGGAGCCAGGACCGCTCCACCGACTTTCAACGTTCTTGAAATCACAATTGAAAGTCCACTTGCTTGGGAACTATTGGCTTTTTTGGCATATTCCGCCTGTTGGCCTGTCCAAGAAAAATCCTAGGGCAGCTTCTGCAAAGACCAAACATTCGAAACGAGTTCTCTGGCAAACATCTCGTACCATTAGAAACCCCAAGCCTGCATCCAAGTTGCAAAGTGCAGGCTCTCTGCGTTTGCTCCGCTGAGCCTCGCAGTAGGTTCACCACCAACGGGATGCCTTGCGGGAAAATCGGCATGAGCAAATGGCCACGACGAACATGGCGCTGGTTGAGTCAGACCTGCTCCCCTTTAAGGGGGGTCGGTTGTCTTTCTCCGTGCCGTCGAGGTAACGGGCGGCCCGGAAAACGAGAGCAACTGCGAGGAGCTTCCCAGACGGAGGGCTGTCCGCTTTTTCCACCTTCGGTTCTGCACGGGGGGCCCTCTGAAAGGAAACTCAGCCTACATCCCTCTGCCCATCGCCAGTTTGGCTGCCAGGCCGCTCTGATCATGGGGCCTTCGCATGACTTCTCATTGCCACGATGGGAGAGAGTCCGATCCAAATCCATGAGACAACCGCGAAATCACATGTGCCTTCGCCGAAAAGGAAAATGGTTTCTCCAGGGCCCTCATTTACCCATTTGACACAGGCACCCTGGGATGAGCTTCAGTTTCAGCGTAACCTCAGCTGATTTCGATCCCCTACAAATCAGTCATGCTAAACACCCACGCCTCCAAAGGCCATGATGAATTAGGCACTTGTTTTGGCAGTTGCTTTAACCAGGCCTTTTGGCAAACTTTGAACTTCGGGATTGGTGACCCAAACGGAATCCCAATCCTCATCCGTGTGTGAAAACAGCAACGAGTGACACTAATTACCACCATCTTGCACAAGGGTCTTGCGGATCGATTTTGGACCGCCCACTTGACCCATCACCAAGTGCCTGCCCCAACCACCCCCCGCCCCATTTACTCCGAAACCCGAAACCGGCATTCGCCAGCCTCCGTGGTGCCAAACCGCATCCCGGTGCTGCGGGTGATTCGCCACTAGCGCGTCCACCAGGCCCAAGGCGCGCTCGCACACCTCCTTGCTGTCGTGCCGCAGGAGGTCCCTGAGATGCAAGCGGAATGCACGTGTGCCCCCTTCAACCACTTTGCCTTCGATCAAGTTCACCAACCGGGACAAGAAATGAGCTCATTTCAACCTTAGGTGATCTTTCGTGATCTGATCGTAGTGACTGAGCCAGCAAGATGTCTCTCGCTCTCTCTCTCTCTCTCTCTTTGTCTCTCTCTCTATCCCTCTGTTTCCGGTTTTACTTTCATCCGCGACTTACCCGAAACGACTCTGAATCCCTTTCTGGCCCTTTCCCCGCCCACTAAAGGGCACCGCATGGTTCGAGGGGAAGGATGTCGGCAGGGTTGGGCTTACAGGATCTAGCATCCAGACAAATCCAGACGAAAGTCTCGCGCGCAATCCTTCCCGTTGAACAGGGGTCAATTGAGGGACCCTGGGGGCAGGTGGCCGGGCTTCTGAAGCCATAACTGGGCCATTGTCGCACGTACATATCCGCTTTCCTATTTCTCAACCATGATTCGTAATCCACTGGGCTGGGGTGGGGTCCGGGGTGGGGCCCGCTGCGATTTGCCGAGGCGCAGAATCACCGGCATGGGCCCGGCGGCGGATTCCGGCGGCGGCGGCGGCGCCGAGGCATCGGTGTACGGCGCGGCCGGCCGTGTGGGGTCGATGCAGGTCACCGCGAGCTTGCCCTGCCAAAGGCTGCCGTGTGTTGTGGAGCTTGGCTGAAAGGGAACCCTTTTCTCGGTTGCTTTCTACTCCCCTGCTAAAAGTTTAACTTTTAGTGGTTTAATGGAAGACCCACTAGTTGGCAAAAAGCTAAAGTCCTAACATCTAGGACAAATGCAACAAAGTTTAGTGAAAACCGACACATATGTTGGAGGCTAAGCAATTTTAAGCCACACCCGACTAACATGGAACCCACCAAAAGGCCACGTTCACCAAATGATCCCTCCCAAGAGCCGGTCAGGTTCCATATTGCTGCGAGGGGGAGGCTGGCTCGGAGCATGACCTGCAGCTCGCTTTGTGACGACAGCGGGATGTTGCTACGAACGTTGATGATCAAAACCGGAAGAATGCCGGAAGAAACATCATGAGTGATGCTGAGGTGACTCCTTCTCGCATTTCTGAAGGTACAATTTGGCAGCAAGGCAGTCTGGTTCATTTCCAGCTCAGCCAGGCCCCCGTCGCATGCAATCAAGGATGCCCAAGCATGGAACCAACCTGTCAGGATGTCCTTTCCAAACAACAAGTCATGCCCTCTTGGGCTGAACCCATTCAGGAGTCAATCAGATCTCAAGGCACATCAAGGAAACGAAAGGGACAAACAAACACATGCTAAAACGCAGTGTGAGAGCCCTGCCTGATCCTCCATGAGGGAGGTTACAATGGCCTCCAGGTCTTGCATCCCCTTGATGCTTTTGATCTGCTCGGACCTGAGCGATTCTTAAAAACAACAAAAAACAAAAACTTTAAGCATCTGAATCAAAGTGATGTTGAGAGGAGTCCATGGGCCCTCTGCTAACAGAACGCCCCTGGAGAGCTTCTAACTCTGCGAGCCCCAAGGAGAAAAAGCAATCAGCATGACAGACAATCAACCCGAACCAGACCGGAGCTCTGAAATGAACCCCCTCGGTTTAAACAATGAAACACCAAGCCAACCGATGCAACAGCACAAGCCATCAAGTGACTGGATAGCAGGCATACGCACTCGAATGGACTCGATGATGTTGCGCAGGTTGAGGTTGGGGATCAGCGTGGTGTGTGCAAGGCTCATGTTCGTCTTCGGACTTGAGCGCTTGCCCATCCTTGGCAACACCAAGCGCGCAGGGCGAAAGACCCCACGCCTTGAGATGACACTCCGCCCCTTTCATGAAATGAACGTGTCCTGACAGACCACAAAAGGGCATGCCCAACATTCAAAGTCCAAACGCAAACGCAATCCAACCGGAATTCGGTTTCTCCCAATGTCTAAACCGAAGCTAGTGAGTACTGGAAGCTATGAGGCCATATTTAGACAACAGGTATATCACCACGTGGGATAAATTGATGTGCCAATTCTTCCGCGACAATTCGAAATTCTTCAAGCCAAGTGTCGCCAGCCATTTCTGAATGAAATCACGCTCGTAGGAATGCCCATCTGCGCAGACCACCGGATCCTGCGCACAACGAGAGATTGAAGTGGAATCTTGCCCTGCGCAATGGCATGCCGCCGCCTGAACAAAATCGTCATTGAATCCTAAGGTGTCCTCTAAAAATAATGGCTTGTTGGGATTTCTCAATGTTCAGCGAGGTCAACCAAAAGTCTTTGCTGGGTACGGATATTATGCCTGCTCCATTTCACGGTAAATGGTTGGCTGATAGCTCTGCTGGCAGGTAAGGGCTTCCGTCCCTGCCTAAAAAGCCAATCAAATAGCAAAGCCAGCCTGCCTGCCCCAGTGCTGGTTTTGCCGCATGCTGCTGCCAATCCCTGCAACTTCACTCCTTTCAGAACTGCCCAACCCTCGTCACCAACGAAGATCACACACCAAAACGAATCAAAACACTTCAAATCACTTCACTGCTTCACAGAGCGACACACACCGAACTCTGCGAACATCAGAAGCAACAAAGTAGGCAAGCAACCGCGGACAAACTGCTACACACACACACAGACACACACCGTTTCCTTTTGACAAAAATCCACACGGCTTCTATGCTCCGTAAAAACATCGAAATGTTCAAGTCTCAGTGGATGCTGCCCCGGACCCAGCTTGGGGACGCCCGCCCACCGCGGTGCCTCCATGACCTGCTGGGAGATGGGGCAAATGGCATCCTTAGACAGCGAGCCCGCAGTCGCAGAAAGCCCGCTGCCCCAGTCCAACGGTAGACTATCAATAAGACTGGCCTCTCACAGCATGGCGTGCCAGGTTTCGAAGTGTAGAAAGGGAAACAAGCCATTTTCTCACTTTGATATCCCCCAATAGTCAAAATGATGCTCTTAGTGCAGTCAGTCAGTATGGGTGAGATTGATGCCCTTGTATTTAGGGGGTGGGGTGGGGGGGCATTTTTGCTGTATGGACTTGGCGATTCGCTCAGTCTACAAAATTGCAGGGGGTACCAGGGCAGCTGCCTACAAAGAGGCTCGGAGGCCCAGGCTTCACCAAGTGGTCATAGAAGCCGTAGCTTGAAGTTAGGGACCTATGCGAGTGGAGCCGGCCTGACTTCCAAATGTCATTTTGTGGGTGCGTTGGCTCGGAGCCCTAATGTTCCAAATGGCATGGACTCCCATTTTTGCTGGACCCACCCCCTCAACATGGCCTTTGCAACATGTGTTCATCTTTTCGCCAATCCGCAAAACACGGTCCAACAAAAAAGGGTCTTCTACATTCTGAGAGTATCAAGGGGACCCAACCTGAGGCGTCAATCCTTATCTACCAAAAAGGAGGCTGTTCATGGGGAGATCCCCCAGTCCACGTTGCCATGGAACCTGACGTTCGGGGTCCGGGAAGATCCTCTGGCGGGTTCCATGCTGGGTATACTTGGTCGACGTTGGAAGGGGAGCAAACCAAATGCTTAGCAGTTTTAGTGGGGGTTTCAACAACTAAACCACAATAAGCAAAAATGGAGAAATGATTCTCAGAGGAGTCTCAACAACAACCGCGTCGCAACCCGGCCGCCTCTGGAATGGCCAGAAGCTCCCCCGGCATGGCTTGGAGGAACGCCATGGGGCTGAAACCGCCGGACGTGGGGAAACCTGAATCCAAAGACCTTCATGGGGTTGCGAGGTGAGCTCAGGTGAGCTCAGAATTTGCTTTTTGCCCAAAACCTCCTTGGGGCTTCTGAGGCAAGCACAGGTGAGCTCAGAATTTGTTTTTTGCCCATATGATGCCTTTGATGGGTTCGAGTCACAAACAGGAACCGCGTCATGGGCGAGTTTTGCTAGACTAGCCCATGCTTCCAAGATTGGAGATTGCCAACACACATATCTTCCAAACAGCTAGTGGGTAAGGAACCTGGGCATGCTGCTTTGCCCACGTGTTGTTCCAACAGTCTGGTATGCGAGCTGGAGCTCTCTCAAGCATCGCAGCCCCTTGCTTCTGCCCGTTGCTTCTACTAGATTTGACTTTCGCCGCATGCTCCTGAAGGTTACTCCCACTCCTAAAGCTCGAAAACTCCGTCTCGCTTTCTCCGACTGGTTGACTTTTCGTCTTGTTGGCGGTCATTTGAGGGGATACCACCTTCCCATTGTGAGCCAAAGGCTATTCGTCACGGGCCGAGGATTGGTCTGCAACACTCCGAGTGGGCAACGAAAAAACCTGCCAGCTCCATGCTTTGGCCGGTTACCGGGGTTTAGAGCATTCCAACCGAGGGAACTCTCCATCTCAAAGCAAACTCTGGCGGTCCAAATGCGCTCACATGTTCCATCGCCTCGGCAAAAGCTCCTTCCACTTGTCATGCGCCTCTTGCCCGAAAAATCTCACCTGCAGAGGCAGAGTCAAAGACATGTGACACCTCAACCCCGGCTTGCCGTCCAATTCACGGGTTCTGAACTTCTGCAACGAGATTCCTTCAGTTGACTTAAGACAGACATCTGGTGATTGAAATTGACGCCAGAAAACCCATGCATCAACAAGCGGCCATCCCCGGGAGCAGTTGGGCATTAGCTATCAACACTTTTAAACTTACAGCAACATAGCGACATTGGCGGTTTTTCGAGCCCTGTGGCTTTTCTTCTGACGGAAGTGGCCCGGATATCAACCAACCGCGCGCCATACAAAAAGGCCACCAACCGTCGGCATCCAGGCATCTCAAACACTTCAGTCACGCGTACGCGGTGAATGCGAAGGGCAAAACATGCAATGCCAACGGTTGGGTGGCAAGAACACCTTCAAAGCAAATAAGCTCAAGCAGCACACCAGTAATTTACTCCCAACGCCAACCCCCAATCCGTCCGGAAGCCTCAGAGCTGCGCCGAACCACTCCGAAGCATATGGGCAAAGACGCCCAAGCTTTCCGTGCAAAAAATGAGCCAAAACAACAGACACCTTGATACCCTCTAGAGTCTCCAGAGGGAGAAAATGGTGACATGTGTACCCCCCAAGCTTTTAAGCACACTCTCCAGTCAGGGCAGCGCGCATTTGCGCGCTGGCCGGCCGTGTCACTGGGCTCCCCAGCCAGGGCAGCGGTGACTTTCCGGAAGGGGATCTCTTCCCTGGCCAGGCCTGCCGCTGCCGCTCTGTGCCAGGGAGCAGTCGCCCACTTCCATTTGCGTTTTGGCCCCCGGAAATGATGACATGATTTCTAGTAGTCATAGATTCCCTTTAAAACCAACAAGGGAAAATATCAAGTATCCTTGAGCAAATGGAAGCCCATTATGTAAACAAGCACTTTGCCGGGTTTGCGTGTTGCCCCATAGGCCAAGCAAGGCTCGCTTCCACATAAGAGCACTACTAGCCTGCAGTTGTCCTCCAAATCTTCCCCGAAAAAAAATGATCAGTCGCCCGCAATAAGCTTTACATGCTTGGCCTGCACCTGCCTTCTCGCACATGGTCAAAGGCTTGTCGGGCTTGAACCAGCTGGTAGCTGGTGAAGCCTCGGCCGACGAGTGGTCCTATGTGGCGTGCATGCTGAACTACTGAACCCTGCTCCCAACACCCAGATCGCGCAGGTGGAAATGTTGCGATTTTGCCGATCATTCGGTTTGGCACACTGAGCAGGTTGTTGATTCACTGTGCCAACAGGGAGCCATGACTTCAGGGATGGTCCATGCGGATATCCCCCGTGGCTGCTTTTGAAAGAACCCAGGTGTAAACCCACCAGTTCGCTGTGTCAGGCAACTCTCATTCGCGTTTGCGGCAAGCGTCTGTACGGTTTTGGACTCTCCTCTCTCTCTCTCTCTCTATTTTTTTCTCTCTCGCTCTCTTTCCTTCTTTCTTTATTTCTTTCTGTCTTTCTTTGTTTCTTTCTCCGAAAGGTTCGGGAGGCCACCCAAGTCATCTTGCCCGGTGCTCTGCACATTGCATACCGCCCTGGTGGTCTAACGTTGCAGCGATGTCCACTAACACAAGCTTCATCCTCCATGTTTGCCCGCCCGGCCACCAAGGACCACGCAAGGCGCGCAAGGCGGCAGGGCCAATGGTTTAAACATGTCTTCAAGCTACTGGAAACATGCTGGCTGGACCCTGTCGCTCAGCACGCGGTCGGGACAGCGCCCGTGTTTTATTCGCCCACCTGGCAAAAGTAAGGATATGCTAAACTTCAACGCCAAGCGGTTGCCGAATGATTTCAACTATCTAGGATGGGCTGCTCCTCGCTCACTTGCAGTGGGTGGGGCCTTTGAGAAGGTGTTCCAGACGTGACATGCACCTGCCAGGTGACCCTCGGAGGAGCGATGATGCGCCAGGAAGAGCAAGAGCTGATTGACACCAAGCGCCTCACAGGGCGAAGGCTTCACATCTCCAAGGCCAAAGATGCACTTCGTATATACCCTTGCACACTCTAAGCACCCTTTGGGCTGAGCACCAGGATTGCGCCCGTGGAGCCCAAAACCATGCCATGGAGCCGTGATTTCCCCAGAGGAGTAATGTTAACCCCTGGAAAGGGTGTCCCCTTTTAGTGGGGATTGGGAACCCCCCTAATAATGGGACGGGTCTATAGATCCTGGGTCAACATTCTGCACAAAGCTTCTCGACCTGGAGCCTGCCCGGCCTCCCGAAAACTGGCCCCCTTTCCATCACCCGGCATTGGCAATGCCACCTCTCGCCGCTGGCCTTGGGAGTTCCGAAGCCCGCCGCCGCCAAGGACGAAGCCACAGCGCGCTGCAGGGAGGTGAGGCCTCGAAAAGGGCCCTTTCGCTACGCTGAGAGGTGGACAGTTTTTTTTGGTGCCCGGGCAACGGCAACCAGGGGATTGAGGGGAGAGAACAGTTCCAAGCACCCACCGACTCATTGGACACTGTCAGATCAGATGGGTGCCCTCTTTTTTTGAACCCATGTTGGGGGGTGGTTTTGAAAAAGAACCAAACAGACACATCACATATTTTGGTGGTTGCCCGTTGAGTTCTGGTGGACTCCTAGTCCTTGGACTTGGTGAACTTGACTTTGCAACAGCTGGCGGGCTAGGGGCGCAAGGTTTAGCGGGTGCTTGTGGGATATGAGTTCATTATATACATACACATGTTGTTGTTTTTGTCTTTCTCCGTTTTGCACTTCTTCCACAGCATCCTTTCACTTCTCAAGTCTTCAGGGGAAGCAGCCATGGAAGATGACCGAACTCAACACACAGGGCCAAGCCCTAGGTTCGTCTTTTTGTAGGCCTGGGCACCTTTGGAACGGCACGGGAAACCCTTGGCGTGGGCAGCGAAGCAACTTTGAAGCTGCCACCTGTGGGCAGGTAAAAGGGGCCGTAGGTTCATAGCGCTGACTCCTTGCTCCTCTAGGGCGCAGGGCCCATGTCATGCAGCAGCGCTGGCAAAGCGTCCCGAGGGACCTGGTGAGCCGTCATGGAACAGGCGTCCAGCCATGAAACTTCATTTGGACCCGCGCCCGGTTTGCAACATTAACATCAACTTGGCGAAAAGTCCAATTCCAACCACTCCCAGGTGCAAACCCAAACAAGACAAAACAATCCTGAATGATTGAGGCCTCCACCCCACCATACCCGGCCTGCCCGCTCTATCCGCTAGCTAGGCAACTCATGGCAACTCTAGCTCGGCACAAACAAGTCAGGGAATCAATGCCGTGAAGTCTGGAGTGGCTTGCAGCTCAAACCATATCAGCCGTATGGAAGCACTATTAGAGTATGCCTCGGCGAGGCTTGCTGTAACTCGTTGAAGCATCCAATGTTGCGCAGGCGTTGTTTATTCCTAAAGCTTGTCACAGGTGACATGGTGCCGCAATTACGCTGCGTCCAACACATGCAGAAAGGTTAGAGATAAGTCCTGTAGCCCATAGCGGTGGTGACGTTGCTTCTTTGGTATGTTTGCTGGCGATGGCTTGCAACCCAAGGGCACTTGAGGAGATTGCACAGACCAAGGATACGATTGCTCTAGCATCCTTTAGCTTCATGTTCAAGGGGCCGTCGCGTTTATGGATCCCAATTTACACAATCTTGGTTGCCGAGTTATCTGCATTCAATTCCCCCCCCCCTGGTTCACGGGGGCGGGGAACGCAAACAGTCAGCGGCTCATCCTGATTCTGACCGAAATGGACTCGCAGTGTTAGCAACATTTTTTTGTTGGGCGCTTGGCTTGACTGACAGTCACAAGTGACCTTTTTGAGCGAGATTCTGGGAATGAAAACATGAACAAAGGCATTCGGTGGGTGCCGCACCCTTTGCCGCATTGCCTTTTTTGTACATGTTGGGAAAGGTTTCGCGGTTCTGGCCGAGAAGTCTTACACATCAGGCATGCCGCCCGAAACAATATCCAAAATCACAGACATTTATCTACTTTTTGGTTTAGACTTCCAAATCCTCACTATTTACTCTAGATTGCTCAAACCCGTCAGAAGATGTGCTTGACAGCATTGGCAGAGAACACGATTCACTCCTCCCGACTCCAACCATCCTCCCAACCGCCTTGCCTTGGAGCGGCCGTAACGTTGGAAGGCCTTCTGCAGCTCGCCCTGCGAAGAAACGATCAACCGCGTTCGGTCTTCAACTGGTCTACCCAAACTACAGTAAAGAACTACAAAGGCAAATATCCGCACCTAATTCGGGTTCAGACTTCCCTTCACCTTCACCTACCCGGGTTTGATTTTGGCTCAAATGACCATAATTTACTTCTTCTTGTCTTTGGGAAGCACGCAAGCGTCCCGTATTGGTTGCCCTTGTTACCCTTCAATTCGGGGGTCGCTGCTTTCGCAACTTTGTTCCAAATCGGCTCGAGGTCTGCAATGGGAGCCAGGAGCTTGGGGCATGCGGCGAACAAGTGCAAAGCTGGAGGGACAAAAGCCTCCCTCCCCCCTCCCTCCCTCCCTCGCTCCCTCCCTCCCTCGCTCCCTCGCTCCCTCGTTGCGTTAACCATCTAAGTCTTTAAGTAACTGGAGCACAGGCGGGGATACACAAAACAAAGTCCTATGTTAGCTGGGAGAGAACCAACATGCTGCTCTCACAAGACTGGGCTTCCACGGTGAGGGATGGCAAGATTGAACTCGACCCTGCAGATCCAAGCGATAGAGCGTCTGACAGCGCACTTGTTGTCTGCTTGATCCTTTGCACGCAAACCCCAAGTTCATTGCCGTGAGTGCCAACCTCACAAAATGAAGCTTCCAGCCCATCTGGCTGTCTTTACCAAGGCCCTGCTGAGGTTGAGATGGAACAACCAGCGAGGCTTCTAAAGAACAAAATTGCCAGCCGGGGGCAAGGGATGATGACCGGCTGCACCCTATCGGGCTTTGAGTGACGCTGTCAACGCTATGCAGGTTGTGAAAAAGAAATCCCCGCCTGTTGTCTCCTACGTGCGGTAGGGAAGCTGTGGGTAGTCCAATCAAATTGACAAAGTGCCGGTATTACGCACAAGCCCCTAAAGCTCTGACACTAGCGCCACTCTAGCGCCAGACCTTTACAAGCCTGCAGCCTTGCGCTCGCTGTCACCATGCACGTCACGTGATGGCGTGAAATAATGACCAGTTCAGAACAAGTCCTGGGTGTTAAGGCGTTTGGCAGTAGCGCGAGGTCACACAAATCAGTACCATCGATAATCCATCCGCCAATGATGCTGCATAATCTTTCCACATGTCCTAGACAAGCTTCATGCCTTCTCGGCCAGTCCTCTGGATCGCCCTGCCTGCTCTCGTGCTGCATATTTCTCGTAGAAGAGTGTGAACTCATCCAGGTTCAGTGCAGAATATGACGTCCTGAGACTGTTGAATTCCGCCCGAAGGAAATGCACACGGGCAAGCCCCCCAATTCCCACAGCTGGAATTTGAATCGCCTCCTTCATTCAAGGGGGATGTCTAGCCAAGGGATGCTGCTGTCATTTCCCGCCATCGTCACACTTCTTGTCTGTTCTAAGGGGGCATGGGAATACGATTTCCAATTCCACACAGGGCCTAATGGTGATAGAGGGTCGTTCCCACATGCTCTAGCAAAACGCAGGAACAGAACAGGCAAAAGACAAAACACGCAGACAACGAAAGACACAAACCCTCCAAACTGCGCGTTCCAGTTGCAACTTTGCATTCATTACTGGCACATTCGGGAGGTACCCCTTCTTGTTCGGCCACAGGACCCGGCTTGCTCCAACCCAGATCCGGCTCTTCAACCTTAAATCCTGCTGCAGAAAGTGTCCGCTGGGGGGCCCGGCACCTCCTTAACCACCACCTCGACATTCTCCGTGCTCACCGCTAAAAAGCCCAGATGGCAAACAGCCTTCTGCAGGTCCTAGGCCCATGAGAGAGCGATCCAAACTGGGCCCAGCTGATCAAGTCGCCGCAAAAGCACAGCCTTTAAAGCAAGCTGACTTGCTGGAGCAAGCTGACTTGGGGCAACCATGTCGATTCGAAGGGGGGGGATGAGTTGGGCACGGCAAAGTTGCGGCAATGCATCCATCCGATCCGGCGGCAACATGTGCCCGTAGGAAAATAGAACCGAGTTGTGATTGGGATTCCTAACCTTGAAAGCAATTGGCCACACGTACTTGCTTCTAAGGTGGCTTCTGGCAACCTCGAAAGCTCATATCCACGTATTTGCTTCTTGCCTGGGTGCGCACGTAGCCACTTCAGGGCCTTTTTCCCCCCAAAAAAAACCACCGAAAGCCAGCGACGCGCTGGCAGATTGGGAGGTCGCGCTGGGTCAAGTGCTTGCAGGATGGGCTTGCTCAAAGACCACGGGAGTGAACCGAAGAAAGGAAACCACCACGGATGGCCTTCGGGTCAGAGACCATTTCTCATTCCCAGCAAGTTGTAAAGGTTAGGAATTCTCCAGCCCGGTGGGAACCGAACCCGGAAATTCCGGGGGGTCGTTGAGGGTCAAGGTCCATGGCTAGTGCAAATTTTGAGGGGCTCTCCTTTTTGTTTTGGTGACCAGCTCCCCTTGAGCCATCATCTGGACGGTGATTTTGAGGATGTCACTTCCAGGGACCCAGGTGGGTAGTGGTGGATATGGGGAGAACCGGCCTTTAGGAGTGAACACAGCATGGCAGGTAGAGAAGTCATGTTAGAAACCTATGCCAAACCAGCAATGGGCTCCAAGTTTTTCTTTGCGTCCTGCGGCTTAATGCTTTGGCACGGGCGCATTGGCTCGCTGGGCATTCTGCAAAAGCAAAATGCAAATCAAATCGGACGTGAGACTTGCAGAGAATCGACAGCGCAACCTTCATCGGCCAGAAACCAGTCCAAAACAGAAACCCTGCAATTGCACAAATCATCAATGTTCCTCCACTTGGTGGATTGATTGGTACGAGAGCCAGGGGTTCAAACCCCCGAGCAATCCAAACTACCAACCTGAAATGAGGGCGGTAGGCGGTCCAAACAAAAGACCGAGTTGATTTTAACAACTAGGTCCTCCAATAAAGAGCTTAGAATATTTTGTTTTAGCGGAACCCTCCCAACCAACAAAGAAACGGTGAGAAAGGGCACCTAGCTGCTGGACCCGGGGACCAGATTTTCTTGCGCACGTGCTCTTGCTCTGCTTCCCTGTGCCTAATAGCGCCGGCATGTTGGCAAAATCGGTGGGTTTCTGGGCCACTGGCTCTCGCAGCACTGAAGCGTGATGGCTATGTCAATGACTCGTGCGCGCTTGAGAGAAAACAACAGCCAAACTTTGGAGGACTTTCGTCTGACGACACATAAAGAGGTGACAACTCCTTGTGCTTCAACTCTTCGCCCACATCTAGAGGTAGGCAACTCTAGGGATAGCTTCCCCATTCTTTCCAGGGAGCCTTCTTTCCGGAAAACCGCCAAACACCCTGGGGAAACAGCTGGTTTTGAAAAGAGTGATGGTCGAAAAGAATGGGGAATCAACCCCATAGAAAAACAATATATTCTGACTCCGCTTCACTTTTAGCTTGCCTCCCCCCCAAAAAAAAAGAAGAAAGAAAGGCGGGACCCCTCTCTGGCTGCCAGTCTGGCAAGCTGTCGTTTCTCTCACTTCTTGGCCTTCGACTTCGGCTCTCGCTTTTGCAAGTCGTGGACTTTGGAGTTGAACCTCGGGGCGTGCTTCAGGATGACCTCAGCCGGAAACGCGTAACCGTGGCCCGTGGCCCAAGTGTTTGTCTCGCTTTATTATTATTTATGTATTTTTAAATAGGGAACCCTCAAAAGGGGCGGCTTGCTCTTGGTGTCCCGCAACCCTGAAAAGATTGACATACCCAAGTCTAAACTGCATCCTACGAAGTGAGCAATAATTACAGAAAACGATTGGCAACGTGCTTCCTGGCGATGCCTTTTTGACCTGTTTGTGTGAAGGGAGGAGGGAGGAAGACAGACCCAGCAACAGACTACGTAGGACGACGAATGCTTTCTCCCGGCCTCCAAACGGAAGGAAAACCTGCTCCTGCTTGTCTTCACCAGTTCGCTGTAATCTTTTGCATGATTGTTAGTCTTGATTTCTTGTTGCTTGCTCTGCGCAAGCAACAAGCTATGCAACAAGCTATTGCGACGCCTCCAAATCGTTAGTTTCAAACCTGCTAGGACAGAAAGGCAAGTTTGGCTCATGTTCCCTTTGTTCCCACCGGCGTGATGCTTTGCTGACAAGCTGGAACGAGGGATGCATGTGTGCGCACCATGCATGCCATGCATGCCGGCGAGTGGCTCTTTTGTATCCGCCGTTCTCCTTCTTCGCATCCACTCGGCACCCAACATACCTCTCAACACGTCGGTGCGGAGCACCCCAGTGGCCCCCAAGTTTGTTTATATCAAAATGAATGGAACCTGAACCTAGCCATGCCGTTTCAGGTGTCCAAACACACACACACACACAGACACACACACACAGACAGACACACGCACACAAAGACACAGAGACATACAGAGACACAGAGACACCCAGCGAGACACACAGAGACACCCAGCGAGACACACAGAGACACGCAGAGACACACACAGAGGCACACAGTGAGACACACAGAGTGACACACAGGATTCAACCTTGGTTGACAATGTGAATATATACATATATACATATATATATATATGTGTATATTTATGTTTGTGTGTGTTCGTGTGAGAAAGATGAGAAAGCTACAAGTAGCACATCCCCCATGATTTGGCGGGCCATAGGCGCCAGGCTGCTCAACCCTTGCAGTTTGCTTTCAAACCCTGCGGCGCACCAGGACCAACTCAGGCTCCATCAAGCGACCTGAAACTTACCCCTCATTTGTTTAAGTCCCCCAAAAAACGGGAATATATTTCCAGTAGGGATAGATCGACTCCCTTTAGAATCGGGCAACACGCGCAAACAAAGTTCCCTTCTGCACTTGAAAGTTGCCTTGCGGAAAGGCGCTAGACTCGGTAGTTCGAAGGTCGAAGGGGAGCTTTCTGTTCCCCACAAGTCACACACGAGCTCACTGCAGGTTCCATATTTTGAGGGAATGCCAAACTCAAACCCAGGGATTTACTGTTTGGAGAAACGAGCCGTCCCCAGAAAGCATTCAGACAGCAAAAGCCAAACATCTCGGCCCGTGTGGCCCTCTTCCAGAAACCTTTCAAACCGGTGCACGCCGAAGCTGCAATTGCACTATCAGATTCCTAGAGTCTCACCCAAACGGGGGGTACGCCATTTTGGGGGAACGCTGAACTCACCCCCCCCACCCCCCCACCCCACCCCCCCCCAACCCCAACCGCCGAACTCGGACATGTTGCTCGAAGGCCGTGTTCACCATCCCCTGAAGCCCAAGCTCATGCTCCAGCTCCCCCGTGACGTCCATCCACAGCTCCGGCGTCAAGTGCCTTGGTTGTCTCCGGCATCGATTACGTGGGTATGACTTTTTGCTGGGCTGCCCGTTTTAGGATCCCCCGCTAAAAGTGAATAACTTTTAGTGGGTTAAATGGAAGCTACCACTAAACACTAAAGCTAAGGGGGTGGCTGGGAGCCACTAAGCTTTAATAGGGACCCTTTGGTGGAAATCATTTAGGCGGCGACTCATGTCCAAGAACCATTTTTGAGGTCATAGCCACATGAAGCCAAAACAGCCAGCCAAGCAGCCAAGAATGCCCAAAATAACCACGTGGATTGATAATATGTGCTATGCACCCAAACGCGAGGACACAGCACTCTCCCGCAAGATGCGTGCCATGCCTGCCCAACGTCACCTAGCTTCCCCAAAGAGAGGCCATGCCCTCAAACCAACGGGCAATTAGACCGTGCTTTGTTGTGGCTGGACAAGGCGCACATCTAAACAAGTGTGGTACCTGGCGCCAAGTAGAACCAAGGTTCAGTTCAAAGCCTCCAGGCGGAAAATTAGTTTGTGGCTATATGGGAACAGCTGCTTGGACAGAAGTGGAAACGCTGTGGCCAGGAAACATTGTTGCTGGATAGCTGGTGTGCCTCGCCAGGTTGGGCCAGCCAACTCTTGCATAAGGAGCGTAACACGGTAGGCCTTTCGGGTGGCACTGCGGCTGAGTCCGGAAAAGTGGCAGAAAGAGAGGCCAACCAGCCTCAAGCAGCCGAAGCCGAAACCGAATGACTTGTACCTGCCAGGGGGCAAAGCCCAAATGATGACAGTGCAGAGCAACTTCCGCGGGTTGCTCTTCCGCACTTTGACGTGAGGAATAGGGTCAAAGAGATACCGATGCAGCCTGAGAATCTCAGACAGGTTGCAAATCAACAAGTCCGAGCAATGCAATGAATCAATGCAACGGCAGCATGGCTTGCCAGCTCTACCGGGGCAAGGTCTCCAATAGTCCCAGTATCTTGCCCATCCGTAGATGCGCAATACTTGTTAGATTGCTTTAGAACAACGCTTCTGAACATGACGAATCCAAGCCAAGTGGGAAGCTTGAATGTGGAAAGGACTGCTATTGCCGAATGCCGCAGTTGGACAGCATACCCGCTTGATTTGCCAGCCCATTTCTCAGCCAAGTGTACAAAGATGTGTTGCAACCCCTGAAGCCAGCAAGATGCAAGTG